ACAGCCTTACAGGTAGCAGCGCCAGACTACGCAGGATTCGTATTGACCCGAGCTTCTTCACTCGACGTCACCGGCAGATGTGGGCCAAACTTTGGCGCGACCGTTAAATACGTTACGATTTATGCAGGATATAGATGTCGGTTCTATAGGTACGTTGATCTCATGCTGTTGCGTTATGATAGCTTATGATGGGTTATGATGTGAGAGGAGTGGAATTGGGACTTCTGTGTACTGATCGATTTTGTGTGACAGCGGTGATGATTGTAGAGGACAGATTGGCGGGTTTGATGGGCTGCCGGCACCTGGTGGGCAGCTTTATCAAGATGCGAGGTCGGCGACGTGTTGGCATGGGTAGGTTGGGCGTTTTGGGGAGTGGATGGGATGGGGTATTCGATCAACCAAATGCATCCGACCCGTCCGAAGAATGCGGCATCCTTACGACTAATATATGCATGCATGCGCTGGCTCGATCATTCACATGAAATAGAGTAGACTGTGCCGTACTCATACATGAGAGTAAATTCCTTGTTTATTCCTAGCATTTATACCTACGTTGTTGCTTAGCTTTTGTTTCCTGCCTTTCTCTATATAAACCTGCTCTCCCTCCTTCATCTCTATTCTTCATCTCATCATACACAGTCACATTCATATTCAATAACTTCTATTGACTTTCACGTATCATCCCCTCCTTAAGATCCTCGTCATACATACATCAACCATGCATCTATCAGCCCTCCTCTCCCTCGTCGCCCTCCCCTTCCTAGTCAACAGTCGACCCACCAACCAAGACCTACCTGTACACATAATGCCCGGGGGTGATAACATAGCCGGAATCTTCGCAAACGGCCCCGAATTTAACGGTATCTTCGTCAACGGCGGATGTTCGCCAAATTTTGGGAAAACCGTCAAGACTGTCCTCATATTCGAGGGATACAGATGCCGGTTCTTCCGGTACGTTGCTATGATCTACCACTCTATCATCATAAAACACAAAGCTCGTTCGTGGCGGACTGCGTGCTAATTCATTGTGTGACAGCGAGGATTTCTGCAAAGGACGGATTGGTGGGGTTGAGGGATTACCCTTCCCTGGGGGTGATCTGTATCAACCTGCGAGATCGGCGACGTGCTGGCATGGGTAGACTGGATCTTCTGGGGCTGGGCTATGAGACGGGATTCAAACCCACTAGTGATAAACACAGAGTAGTCTTCATGGCAGTCCAACGAAATCAAAAAAGAGGTCTTAAGCGCAAAAGAGCGCCAAAGAGATCACAAGCCGATGTATAAACACTTGAGGATTAAGTTGTCTAGGCTGTTGCTCGCTGCAACAATTCCGATCAGGCTCGTCGCGTTATTGATCATACTTCACGATAGCAGCAAGCGCGTACTAGGCAAATGTAAAAGCCTCTGCTTTCTCGTAACCTTTGCGTGTCCACGCTTACGTTTCGCGCACCAACTCCACAAGCGGACCACATCCACGCCGCGCTCCAAACTCCCATACTTACATTCCAAACCAGTCCAAGCACATCCGCAATACAGCGCACGCCCATCCAACCCTCCGGAGAAACCACATGCGATTCATGACCGGAATCCATGCTTTCCCTCCTCCTTCCTATTCAGGTATACCAACGCCCAACACATCGACCATCTGCCGACGAAAAGAAACCACAAACCTATCAAACAGCTCACCCATCATCTTACTTCTTCACACATCAAGCCACATTCCACATCTGGAATCAACACTTCTCCCCCAAACTGCCCTTTCGGGAACACTTTCGAAAACATACTTTGGTACGCGCTTTGGCACCGCAGCATGGACACAACGCGGTCCATGATCTGACCCCGAAAAACCAAACTAAAAACAAATTTAAATGTTTGCAAGCTCCAAACTCTCGCAGGTGGGACGCCTGAACTGATTCCACAGTTGAAATGTCGTATTGCCTAATTGGGGCTGTTTTGTGTCGGAGTAAGTTTGATGGTACTTGCAACGTCTGGAAGGGTCTTCAGCCTTGTCTTAGTGCATAGGCGAGTAATTCTCCTCAAGCCTTCTGGAATCTATGGAGAGGGGGAATTTCCTGTTTCGGTAGGTTGGTAGCGAGGAATTTGGTAGAGGCGTGGGGAGTGAGGTATTTGGGATTAGGAGATGGGTCCAAAGTTCGGAGTGTTTGCGCGGGATGGGAGGGAGGCGGAGGTCTCTGGGAATGGGACATAATGCAGGATGCGCAGTGTCCATCATCTGCGTGTTCTGTATGCTGGAACGCCCTGGACATGGATGCGCGACGTCGATTTTGCTAGTCCTCTGTATTCGTGGGAAAGCCTGGCATGGCTTGTATACGCTGCCGTCAATCCAAATACTTCTTACTCTTCATTCAGCATTCGTGTACGTCGCGTGACACCTTCGACCCAGACTCCTCGCCAGCCCCTTTTGCTTTTTCGGCGACGTGTCCAGTCGCCCGCCGTCATCCACACCTTTGCAAGCTTCCTTCATTCTTTCCCATCTCGGCATCTATGACTGCCTCGCTACCAAACTCCCCCAGCCCCTTAACCAGACTCTCTTACTTCCAGACCCGGCTGTTCGATCCCAAGGCCGTCTTCTTCTGGTTCGTGGATCTTTTCCCGATAGCGGGATCTACCATCATCAATGGTTTTCTCGTTTCCTTTCCTCTTGCGGTAGATTTTGACCGTTGGATGGGCGGTGGCTAGGCGGGATGGGGGATGGGCGGGGAGAGGGTACCACGGGCCGGAGTCTGGCAGCCGTTGACTGGAATCGATGGTTCATGGTGGGCTTTCCTGTTTGGGACGTGTGCGGGAGGCGCTGACTTTGGGAGCTGTATGTGCGGTAGTTGTTAGATTGAGCGATACGAGGTTTACTACCGGAGATGGAGTCAAGCCCTGAAGGCGTATATGATGGTCGCCTCGCACATGATTTATCGGCGTGTGCTTGTTACCCAGGATGCTGCAGCTGCTCGGTCACTCCAGGGCTGTGTTCCGTGGGGTGCCGAAGCACGATGCGCGAGCCTCGTGGTGTTGCGAGCCATTGGGAAGCGAAGGTAGCTACGCGTCCACCGTCGCAGCAACATAACTAGACAGCTAGGTAGATTTCGCTAAAGAACATGGAGATGCGGAGTAACAGCTGCATGTCACATCTTCCATACATCCAGGTGCTCAGCCGCGAACGCCATCGCACTCGTACACAATCTCACCCGCCCGATCCAAACATCACCAATAGGACAAGACCACTTTCTCCGATGCCACAAAAGCAGTCCTGATGCCACGAAAGCAGCAACACGCATGGGAAACAAGTAAACCCGATTTCCCAAACAAGCGCACAGCCATGTGCCGCGGTATCCATGTTAGCCCAGCAATGACGTAGCGACTGCGCGGATGCTTGCGCAAATCCCGCCAGGAACATCGCTATTGCATCACCGCGACCCACGTCCCAGCCCTTCCTCTCAGTCCTTTCACGAAACAACATTTTTGCCTGCAACTCCTCTCTATAACGCATCGAGATCACATCGAGAACCGAACGAATACCTCAATTGACACCACGAGACCTCTTTCAATATGGATGTAAGTGTGGAGCTGTTGTGGGTGGGAAGGGCTAATGGGTGTTTGCGTAATGGATTCATGCTGATGATGAGGATTAGGTCTACTACTTCTACTCCTACGGCACTGCCGCATGGCTGGGTAAGCTCCCCGTTGATTCAGCAGGATACCGTACAGCTTGCTAACAGGAAGACAGCGACCCAAGCCGCGCCTTTGATCGCATCCCCAACGATGATAGTAGCATTGTTGTCCCCCGAAGTCCGCGAAGCTTCTAGTACGTATACACGAAAGACTGGGAAACATGTTTGTACGATGAGGTGCTAACGAGGATGATCAGCTCTCGAAGTCTACTTCTCCCGCACCCTGGGCCTCTCGCTCATCGCCCTGGGTATCCTGACTGTCCTCCTCACGGGGTCTGTTCCATTGTCTAGTCGACTCGCTGAAGGTACTTTCCCTCCCCATCCTCAACCCACCACTTCCGTACACCAAACTAACACCCACCACAGGCGCAACCACCAACGAAGAAGATCCAAAAGCACCCTACGCCCTCCCCACGCTCACCGTAACCGCCATGTTCCACTCCGCCCTCGCATTCTACGGCTACGCCATGTGGACACGCACCGGCGTCATGGCTTTCAGTCTAGGCACACTAGGCTCCGGTTTCCTAGCCATCGTGGCACTATGGTGCATTCTGTTTGCGAGCAGCAATGGACGGATCAGCAGGAAGACTGGCGCGGATAAGAGGACGTCTGGTTTCCCGTTCAAGAACGCTGAGGCGGAGAAGAAGAAGGGTAGGTAGATGCTTACTATCTATCTATGGAGCCTTTGCTGGCTTCGAGGGGTCATAAGGCATGCTGCGGGTGGGCGGATGGGGCATGGAAGCCATGTCTGCAACGGCGAAGAGGCATACAATGATAGTCATGCGGGAGCAAGGCATGGAAAACTGGCATTGGGAAATTGTCAGACACGGATTAGCGGGATGGAAGCTGTATACTATGGAAGCATTGAATGAATTGGTATCTTTAAACCTTGAATGTACCCAAAGACCCGTGAATACCCAGGTTTCTATCCCATAGTAGTAATACAAAAGTATTATCGAAAAACAAGAGGGCATGGCGCCGTCATCTCCCTCAACACCAGAGCTACGCAGTTATCCACCGTCTCGTCGCAGCCGCGCTCTATCATACCAACACCTTCGCAGCTCACCCATGTGCATAACGCCTCCGGGGCGGGCCCCTGTAATTCAACTGCTCCTCCACCGCAAGACAGCGGTCACGCCAATGAACGCACTCCGCATCCAACCACGCAGCACGATCCGCCAGACCTAGATATTCCAGCGAAGCCTGCGACATAGGAACTTGATGCAGGCGCAGCGCATCCAACCTACGATGATGTATACGCTGCTGCAACTGCAGAGCCATATCCCTCTCCGCGGGGTCCAGATATTCCAGTCCAGGCTACGGAACGGGTACCTGAGGCTGCGACTCTTCGATAGGTTGGATATGCGCGGGAGGCGGTCTAGGCTGAACCGCTTCCTGCTTAATCCGCGGTTGTTGCTGAGTGTCGTCGCGCCACCACGGCAATTTCCCTTCTCGGGGTAAGATGGGCAGGGCTTTCGCGGGCTGGATATCGTTTTCAACGGATTGCCAGCCTTCCATGTCGTCGGGCATGCCTTGATCGACGCGGCGCCGTCGCTCGGTTGCGGCTTGTGCTTCCATGTAGTTCTCGAAGAGGAGTTCTTTGGCTTGCCATTCTTCCTGGCGGGTGTGTTCGAGCTCCTCGGCTTCGGCGCGTAGTTGCTCGCCTTCTTGCGTTGCCCACAGGAGTTGGCGGCGCAGGAGTTGGAAGAGTTCGGGTGCGGGTCGCTGGAGCTCTTCGGGTGTGAATTCGATGTCCGGTGGGAATTGGACGAGCGGTGGGGCGGAGGGGTTGGCGAGGTCTTGCAGGTAGATGACGTTGTTGTGGGCGTAGTCGGCGTCGGGGGCGGGGGCGGGTGCGTTGGACGGAATGGTCGCGCTGTTCGGGGGATGCGAGTGTGAGGAGGGAGAGCCCGGTGTTGAGCCTTTGTCGTGGGGCAGCTTCTTGGCTTCGTTGTTGAGGACGAGCTTGAGGCGCTGCTTGTTGTTTGTGGGGTTTGAGGAGTGGTGCTTGGGGACGGGGTCCGAGGGGCGCAGTGCTTCAGTCTCGTGGACGGTCCTCATATGCTTCGCCAGCGCGTCGGAGCGGGTGAAGGAGCGGTCGCATTCTAATAGCCTTAGTATGACGGATGCTATAGAGATGGGTCTGGCGACTTACCTGGAAGGGTACAGTAGAATGGCTTCTCCCTTGTATGTGAGCGCATGTGAGCCCTAAGCGCATAGCCACTAGCATGGGGTATGCCTTTTCTTGTGCAGTCGCTCCACTCGCAACTGTACTTCTTCTGCCGTGTTCCTATATGGTCTTCATGAAGATGTTCGACGAGGTTATCCATGTTCTGCAGGTCACCCGCCGTGCAGCCGTCCCATTTGCAGACAGTGACCTGTTCCTGGCCATAGTCGTCGTCTTGCGACATGCCCGGGTGGTGGTGTGGCGACGCAGGGACCGAGCCATCTGTGTCTTCAGACAGCTCGTCCTCTTCCTCGGGCGGCATGGTATTGATATGGGGCGGTGAAGATGGCGCGCGGATATTCAGGCGTGGTCGCTTGTTGGGGCGCTGGTCGTGGTCAGGAGTGGCTTCGTAGCTGGCATGGCGGCCTCCTTTGATGTCCTCGGGAAAATCGTCGCTGCCGTACTCGGAAAGTTCTGAAGGCGATTCCATAGCGGCGATTGATGTGGATGTGAATGTAGCGGTGGGCGCGTTTAGAGAGCGTGACGATGGCTGTACGGCGCGTTCGACGTCTAGCCCGAGGTGCAGGGACCACCCGTTTAGCTCGATATTTTTGGGCAGCTTACTTACTTCCTCTTCCTTCCTCCTCGTCTTGTGATCACTCGATTGTAATAACACCAAGCTGTACTTTGGTCAGTTGGCTATGCGACGGCGCTCATTCGTCGGGCGAATGTCCATTTGGACGTCTCCATTCTTTACCACGGTAACGAGGCTGGGTGCGATATGACTTTGCTCTACCTCCCTCCAACACCACGCAAACGGCTATAGGTAAGTTCTTCCACCGTCTCCTTCATCTCATCACTATGATGATCTATTCCAGAGTTCTGCAATTCCAAAGAGTCGCTTCACGGCGGCTCAAATGCGGATTAGCTCTACACTACAACTCTTTCTGATCTGCTATTCTATACACAATCTTAAGCTTGCTATATTACAGCTACAGTGCTAACAAGCTTCAGACTAGATTCTTAGTTGTCTATGCGAACAGCAATGCCGACTGCGACTCGTGGTACCTTCCTCCGATCGGCGGGAATTTCTTGAGCATCTCGTCCAGCGCCTTCATGTCCTCGTCGTTGAGCTTTGCCGGCTTCATATTCTCCTCGATCCTCTCAGATGTCGTAGCGCCAGGGATTGGGATGATAGTAGGCATACCCTTGGCACCGCTCTGTGCAAGAACCCAGCCGATGGCAATTTGAGCTGGTGTGGCTCCCTTGGCCTTCGCCATGTCCTCGACAGCGTGGAGCAACTTGATGTTCTCGTCGAATACGTCAGGCTGGAACCTGGGCATGTGGTGAAGCATCGAGTCGGGCTCGATGTCGCTGTGCTTCTTGTACTTGCCAGTCTGGGATGCATTAGTGTAAGTCGTTGATTGAGAAGAGATGCGCTTACCAGGAACCCGCGTCCAAGAGGAGAGTACGCGATGATAGGGATACCGAGCTCTGCGCACGTCGCCGCGACCCCGTTCTCCAGAATATCGGTCGCCCAGAGCGAGAACTCTACCTCGACGGCGGAGATGGGGTGTACGGCATGTGCCTTGCGGATGGACTGCGCACCAACCTCTGACAAGCTGATGCCGCCCAGCTTGCCTTCCTTGACATACTCTGCGATGTAGCCGACAGTGTCTGCGATGGGTGTCTTGGGGTCGACTCTGGCGCACTCGAATAGATCGAGGCTCTTCTTGCCATCTAGCACCTTCAAACACTCATCGATGCTGCGCCTGACGTTCTCGCGACTGCCATCGGGCGCCATCTCACCCTTCTTGAGACCACCTTTGATAGACAAAACAACCTTTTCTGCGTCGCCAGGGTACTTGGTGAAATACTCATTGAGCAGGTGTAGAGAGTTGCGCTCCGGGGATCCGTAGAGCTCGCCGCCGTTCCAGTTGTTCGCGCCGAGTGAGAGGGCTGTGCGCATGGCCTCGTAGCTCTGTTCGGCTGGTGGTGGGTTCTTGCGCCATGTCAGACCTGTGATGTGTTAGCGGAGCGATTGCGAGGTAGGTAATGATGCATACCCATGAGGCCGTAGCCAACTGGGCCTACAGTCTTTCCGACAAGTTCAGGCATCTTCGGTGCTTCTTCGAAGTTTTGAGACTGGTAGTGGGGTAGATAGAAATCCGGCAAATTTATCACTCTAGTGCCTCAATGGATTGTGTAGCTGTTGATATCGTGCAATGTCCTGTCAACCGTTCTGCCACTGAGTCTTTATATCGAACCGGCGGTCTTCTCGGGCCCGAAGTCGTTTTTAAGTAACTGGATGTTGATGACGCGGGCTCCACATTCCTCCTGCATTTGCCGGGTCCATTGAGATCTTAACTCCGGCCGGCCAATCAAGCGCCGATGTGGCGGAAGAAGATGGACTTTACCGTGATAGCTCCAGCGGAATGTTTGCGCGATGTATGCTACTTGGGGGGATTTGAGGATGCATAGGAGACTGGGTTGGTAAGCTGGGATAGTGAGATGGCATCGAGACAAAAGGTGGATGAACTGCGAGGTAGCGGTAATGGCTATATGGGAACCCAGGGTGGCCACACGAAGAATTCGGAAAAGGCATTTATAGTAGCCTTCAAAAGACAGTTGCCAGGTATAATACTGCGTATACTCTTGGAATGAATTTCGAATGCTTTTCAGGTACACCCCCAAGAAAAAGCCAGCTTCCTCGCATCACGCATCCACCTCTAGAACGCGAAAGGATTACACGACGTACAGTACAAAGCTAACCAACCCATCCCACCATCCCTCAACACACATTTCACTCCATCTTCTTCCCCTCAACACCCCTCCTCTCAACCCCATCCAAATCCCTCAACACCTCCCTGACCGGCCACACAAACCCCTCCTCCACCCTCCCCGTCTTCCCCTCCTCAATCGTAACAAGATACTCCACAAGCGCCATACCCACATACGCGCCAATCGCCGTAAAAATATGCCACCACCCATGCAATTCGAACAAGAAACCCCAGGGCAGGCCAACCCATCTCTTGAAGACTGTGACGTAGTAACAAGCGTGGAAATCAATGTTCCACAAGAAGTACCCGAAGAGGCCGGTGGAGATACCAAAAGTAGCCATCCTCCCAAGTTTCTTACGAGCTTCTTCGGATGTGATTTGCACTTTAATAAGCGCGCGCGTGTACTTACTCACCAAGAAAATCATGACCGCAAACGCAATCTCATGCAGAATGATTTCATCGGCCCAGACGTGGTACACGGATACTGGAATCAGACTTCCTAGGATATACGCCGTATACTTCCTCCTCTCGTTCACCGTAGCTTTGAAACAAAGCAGTTGGTGCAAGATGGCGCCGACGGCCAGGAACATGGATAGGTCGTCGCCCATTTGCGAATGGTATTTTAGCGTTGCGTGGAACCACGCAGAGAGGAGGCCGACGGAAATTAGTCCCCAGTAGGGGAAGGCGAGCGTGGAGATGAGGCCGCCGGTTGGTTTGGGGGCGACGCGGCGGAGGCCGTGGAGGCCGTAGATTACTGGGGAAGTGAGTATGGATTGGGAGGTGGGGTGGTTTTGGAAAGGGCGAACCGTAGGTTATGTTTGTGAGGGTGTTTATGAATTCGCCGATGTAGGGCGTTATTATGTAGTCCTGAACCACAATCAGTTTTCATGATACACATCTCTTTGGTTCATTCTGCGTACCTCCTCACAGAAACTACTTCAAGTCAGCCATGTCCAATTCATCATGCACGCAACTCACTTGTGATTCGACGTCTTCGGCTCCCACGCCCCGACGATGTATTCGTTGGGGCTGGGGTATTCCCATCGCCACTGCATTTTCAATTGCGAAGGCTACGCGTCGGAAGATTGATTCGACGTGTTGAGGTGAGGTGACGTTGTTGTTTCCAAGGTTTCGTGGTTTTCTACTTGCAGCAGGAGGGTTCGCGCTTTGACCCCTGATCGCGGTTCCACTTTGCACGCTACGAAAAGACTATACGAAGACGCGTGGAAAAGCAAACAGACGCAAGGAGGATACATAGTAGAAATTCATGAAGAGTGAGGATTGAGAGCAGTTGCACAATAGCTGTGAGGTTTGACTACAAAATTTTCTAAGCACGGCAAACTTACAGGGCAATTAAATCCTCCTTCTTCATACAAAGTTAGAAACATGCCTTAAAACAGTTCTAGAAGTTAAAGACGTAATTGTAAGAGTATTTTAAGCGCAGGCTATGTCTTGCTGAGTAGATAATTAAGGTCCTTGTGCGGCAGACCTCAAGGCAAAAAAAATCGTTCCTTGCACGTACGCGTAGCAGTGTCTTGCTATGACTGCCGGAAGTGCAAAAAATGGGTCTTACCGCGACTCGAACGCGGGGCCTCTCGCAAGCTATGCTTGGGTTTGCAAGTATCCGAAGATGCTTTCCCTAAGCTGTAGAAGTTAGTATATGCCTTACATGCGTTTCATGAAGTCAGAACTTACCGAGAATCATACCACTAGACCATAAGACCGTAAGAGGCAACTGCTGTGAAGCTGTTGTTCTTGTTGATGGAAGGGGAGCAAAAAGGAGCACATATAAAGGAAATTGGCAAAAACAGATTTTTCCAAAAATGGGCATGTTCTGGAACACCAAATGCAACGCCAGGTCGTTTGTAGTATGGGCCTTGTGCTTCCCACCAAATTTTGTGGGGTTCTGACTGGTGGCAGTTTGGAATTGATGGCACTGATGGTTGACGTGGCCGAACTTAGCCGCTGGCTTGGGCGGGCCAGGGGCGGCAGATAGCTGCTCGAACACCAAAACTTAGGAGGGGTATTCGAGACTCCTGCGCAACCGCGTAGCGATACGGGCGTGAAGCATTATTGGTATAATAGTATTAGTGAGTGATCTGGTGAAGTTGGAGGGTAGAGAGCCAGACTCAGCGCGAACATGTCCCTCCGATACCCTGTTCGTAATATTCGCAATTCTTTGTTCGTACGGTGCACATGGGCACAGCTAGTCTCTACTCGAAACACCGACAAGATCTGGTATTTGATTGCAATAGTCTCTTGTGAGCGACAGCGCGTCTGCGCAGTACATAGTCGAAATCCAAAAATCGATGACGCAGTCCATCTCCAGCATTACGCCTTCGCACGGCTCGCACGTCTTCTCATGTATGCGCCACACTTTCGGGAAGTATATCTTACATCACACACATAGGTGTTGTATGCAGCAAGAAGGCCAAACATTATAACGACCATTTTCTCGGATCTTCTCACCGACTCGCGATTGCTGCAGTTTTTATCACGGCTACGATGCTCGCAGTGCTGAATTTGTTGTCAATACGCACTCGAAACCTTTATTGATTTACGCGCACACTGTAGATTGACTAGGTGTGTGAGCTTATAAGCCAGACCTGCAATCACGGCGCTGTGATCGAAGCAAGATTTGTACGCGTATTATGGCGAATGGCCTGACTTTCTGAGTCGTCCCGCTTCAACATTCCCATGTCGTGAGAATCCTGGTCGACGCGCAGGGCGACGCAATAGGTTAGCCCAAACGCGAACATCTGAAGGAAGAAAGCCCGATCATCGATGAGCAAGTCCGATGTTCGTCACGACTCCGATCATTAGAAGGCATCTTGAACTTGCGCTGATATCAGATGCGCCTACGCATGTGACAAACCAGTATCCTCGACAAAATCGCTTCCACAGAACATCTCCTTTGTCGCACATCACCTCAACCATCCCAATGCGATGCGACTGCGATGCGTCGCCATTGATAGCATCGCGATGGCAAGGTAAAAGTCGGTAGAGCCAGCGTTGCCAAGCAGAGCAACGATCGCGCTTCGTCGTACGTTCTGACCACCCCTCAGGCGCATTCCTGCCCAATCACCCACAACAACAGTCGGAAGCACCACCTGCTCAGGAAACATCTCCAGTCACATGTAACATCGCGCATCGAAGCAACCACCTTAGTCGGATCCCGGCAGTCTGCAAAAAGAGCCGCCGGTTCGGTTAAGATGCCACTGACGACATCCACACATGCACAACGCGGGTGAGGCGATCTCCACAACTCTCCGGGCCTGAGCGCGTCTTTCTCCACCTCCAGCCTAACCCCAGAATCGTTTTTCCACAAATCACACGAGCTCCGACACTGACTCGATCTCGTTTCTCTCCGATGGTCAAGACGGCAGGCTTCTCGGCATGCGGCCGCTATACTTGGGTCGGTAAATACACTTTAACCATTTTACCTGGCTGTCCAGGGCTATGACCAACGAGTATGGAGTCTCCATGCGGAGCAAGGACTCGAGTGGAGACGACTGCTTCAATCGATATGATTGTCACGTCGAGCACAGCGGCGTGTAGTGCCGACTTTCTCGACCTTTATATTCGACCCTCCCCACGTCTGTGGATCGACAGGTCGAACGACTGCCATCTCTGCATCAACCCAAGGCTCTGGACAGGTCTCGGTCAAGATGTTCGAAAGATTTCCTAAGATTTACAATGTCTACTTCTTGGCCATTGTTGCCACGATGGGTGGCATGCTGTTCGGTTTTGATATCTCTTCGATGAGTGCCATTATTCCGAGTGACCAATATCTGTAAGTCGCAGTGACGTCAAACACCTTACTTATTGACCACTAACAACAAACAGCACCTACTTCGACAACCCAACCGGCGTCGTTCAGGGAGCTATTGGCGCGGCCCTTGCTGCGGGTTCAGTGGTTGGCAGTGCTATCGCTGGTCCTATCTCCGACAAGTTTGGTCGTCGCGATGCCCTTATGTTCGCCTGCCTTTGGTGGCTAGTCGGAACTGCGCTGCAGGTTGCTACAACTGGTCGCGGCATGCTTATCGCCGGTCGTGTATTGAACGGAGTCACTGTCGGTATCACTTCGTCTCAGGTCCCTGTCTACCTCGCCGAAATTTCCAAGCACTCGCAGCGTGGTGCGATCATTATCATCCAACAGCTGGCTATTGAGTGGGGTATCCTTATCATGTAAGTACACTGAACACACGAAACAAGCCCAAGCCAACAGATCGCAGGTACTTCATAGGTTACGGATGTACTTTCATCCCTGGCGAGTCAGCTTCATTCCGCACGGCCTGGGGAATTCAATACGTCCCCTGCGTCATGTTCATGATCGGTCTCCCATTCCTCCCAGAGTCTCCACGATGGCTCGCGAAGGTCGACCGTACAGAAGAAGCAATCCACATCCTGGCCTCCATTCAAGCCGACGGCAACATCGAAGATCCCTATGTCATCGCCGAATACGAGGAGATCGTAACTGCTCTCACTGCAGAACGTTTAGCTCCCCAAGGATGGCGAAAGTTCGTCTACAACGGCATGTGGAAACGTACTCTTGCCGGTTTCTCCGTCCAGGCCTGGCAGCAGCTTTCGGGTGCTAATGTATGTTGAGCATACTTCGCGTAGTACCGTCCTGCTAACAGTTCTCAGGTCATGACTTACTACGTCGTATACATCTTCGCCATGGCTGGTCTTACAGGCAACACCAAGCTTATCTCCTCCGGTGTGCAGTACGCTTTGTTCATCGTCTTCTCGTCCATCATGTTCTTCTTCGTCGACAAGATCGGCCGGCGAACACTTCTGGTTTGGGGAGCCATTGCGATGGGCATATGCCATCTGGTCGTAGCTGGAATGCTCGGCGGGTTCTCCACGTATGTTCCTGAGGGTGTTGGTGGCGACGCGAATGTTGTCATGATGGTCACCGGATCGCCGGCGTACACCGTTATCGCCTTCTCGTATCTTTTGATCATCGTAAGTACCTCTACGAGCTGAACATGAACCACACTAATTCCGCATCTTAGTTCTACGCTCTTACCCTCGCACCCATTTGCTGGGTCTACGCCGCTGAAGTTTGGTCACTAGAAACCCGAGCTTCCGGAATGGGTATCGCGGCGATCGGAAACTGGCTCTTCAACTTCGCCATTGGACTGTTCATCCCACCCGCGTTTGTCAACATTAGATGGGGACTTTTCCTCGTTTTCGGAATCCTCTGCTTTATGGCTGCCGTCCAGTTCTTCTTCACCTACCCTGAGGTAAGGAAATTCGAAATTTTTGTGATGGCTCCGACTAATCCTTCAACCAGACTTGTGGCAAGACTCTTGAGGAGGTTGAGTTCCTCTTTAGCAAAGAAGGCCCACACGCTTGGAGGACCAAGAAGGGTAGCGACAATCTTGCGCGCGACCTCGAGAACGTTGCTGCTGCGCAAGCTAAGGGAGAAGCGCTTGCCACCATCAATAATGTCGCGAAGAAGGAGAAGGGAGAGACTGAGACTACTGAGGCAGTCTAATTGGGTCGGAGTCTGCGGTTGTCAGTTCCAATATGACCAATTTTGCACCATTCGGCTCACGTGGAACGAATCGAATCGTTACTTTGGACTCTTACAGCACTGCGTTCTTGTTGAGATCATCTAGACACATGGATGAACTAATACAGCGTTCTGTTACAGATCATTGCTATTCACATCATGCTACTAATCCCAATCCTCCCGCCAGACCCCCACCTTCCTCAAAAAGTCCACCTGATTCCCCTTCGCAAACTCCCTCGCCCAGTAATCCCCATCCCACCGCACCCACGCACTTTTCCAGCTCGAATCCTCCCACCCCGTCTTCTCAACCGGGTACAAAGGCCCCATGCCGGATTTCCGCACTTGATCCATAATATCGGTTGCAATAGTTCCACCCCTGGCTGTCGATCCGCGTGGTTTGACACTGGCCTTGAAGATTTCCACCTCTCGCGCTTCTTCCAGTTCTTTTTCGTAGGCTTTCAGTCTGGCTTCGCGCGCTTGGATCGCGGCGGGCAGGTGGCAGCGCGGTATGAGCGGAGGCCTCTTTATGCGCTCGAGCGGATGAGTCCAGTCCGAGATCGAAGAAGGTGAAGTAGACGATGAGGTATCGCTGTCTGGTGTGCGGCTACCAGAGGTACTAGGTGAGCGTATAGGAAACGGTGCTTCTCGCATGAACGCTTGTTCTGTCTTTCCGATATGGATATCCCGGGCTTTGACACTCTTCCTCAGTCTAACCACCGCGTCTTCCAAGCGCGTATTGAGGCCTTGTTCTCGCTTGTAGTCTCGTTTGAGTGCCTCCCTTACTTGTTCCGCTACCGAGAGTTTTTGTTGGAGGCCCTGGACTTCCCAGTGGGCGTGATCTTTGACTTTTTGATAGTAGTCTCGGATGTATCGGAACTGTTCCAGCTGTTGCTCAGAGATGTTAGCTTCAAATGCGAGACTGCGTTGTTCGAATTGTGCCTTGTTTTCTTCTAGTTCTTCTTTCCAGGTCTTGGCCTCCAGTTTCAACTGGTCGTTCTTGGGGCGGAGCTCTGCGAGCTCTCCTTCCGCTTTGGTAAGGTCTAACTGTAGTTTCTCATTCTCGGGTTGGAGTTGTGACAGCAATTTCTTCGCTTTGGTGAGCTCCATTTCTGCATCACGGCGCTTCTTTTTTTCCCGTTCGTAGTACTGTTCCCATTCATTTTTACCGGTTTGCATGGGATGCGGACTTGGTAGACCGGGGCTCAACAACCCCTTCCTCTCGATTTCGATGGTCTTTCCCAAACTATTAATCTCGTATTCTTTCTCTGCTACCTCACGTTTCAAGTCTTCGATCTGCTCCCGCAACTCTTTAAAGTCTCCATTGAAGTTCTTGATCAATCTCAAAAACTCACCTCGCAGTTTACCAGTCTCATCATCTTGCGAAAGACTCAGGAATACAGCGTCGAGCTCTTTGGTCTCGCATTTTGAGATCATTGGCAAGTTTTCGGCCACTTGGTTGACAACTTCGCAGAGTGTGCGGATAGACTCCTGGTTATTCTTCAGCTTTTCATCTACTTCCCTCAGTGAATCATCAAATGACTTGCAGGCATTGGTCGCATCTTCTGCCTCTGTTTTCTTTGCCTCGAGTTCCAACCGCGTCCGCTCAACCGATGCTCGAAGCTTCTTGTTCTCGGCTTCGACTTCTTCAAGAGGAGGTAAACCAGGTTCGCGTGCGTTGCGCGCTGCAATCTTGGCTTCGCTCTCACGAAGCTGGACAGATAGCTTTTCGTACTCTTGCTTCAGACTCGTAGCTTCTTCTTTGACGGTTTGCAACTCTTGTAATACGGTTTCACGCTGTCTCATCGCCTCGTCGCGCTCTTCCTCCACTTTTTGACGTTTAATCTGGAGCTCTTGTATCTCTGCAACGATCTCGGGCGGAACGATAGGTTTTTCCTCATCGCCATGCGGCGATACGCTCTCAATCTGATCTTGAGGTGCCGCAGCTTGGCTTTCCGCATCCTCGACATGATCCTCTCGTGGCACTGCAACCGTGTTATCTTGCGTCAAAGGCGATTCCCGCTGTTGTGATTTGTGAACATCAGGACTGGAATCCTCAACGTGATGCACCTGTGGCTCTTCCTGGGCCAACAGATCTTCTAAGTCATACGACTGCTCCTCTTCCTGTATGGTCAGCGCTTCTTCAGGCTCTGATACATGCTCTTGTGCTTGCTTTCTTAGCTCTTCCTCTTTTAGCTTATTTTCCTCTAGATCCTCCTTCTCTAGCGGCTTTTCTTCCAGCTCCTTCTTTTCCAGCATAGACGCTGCTTCTTCTCCTTCTTCCTTTGCGCTTCCATCATCTTCCACATCGCTATCAAATCGACTAGAGTCGTCATCATCGACGTGTGCCTCGTCTTCATCTACCTCATCCTCATCATGAACTTCATCGTCTGCCTCGTCCTCATCCACGGCCTCATCGTCTACCTCACCACCGTTACTATCCTGCGTCGACGTACCAGCCCCCCACCGCTGACGACTCTGCGGTCTACTACCAAACCCAGGAGACGAATGCTGCCGCATCGCACTACCCGGCCTAGAAGAAGCTTCTCTCGTCGACGCCCCCCTCTTCCCATACTGAGCAAGTTCAATCTTCTCGTTCTTCTTCGCTTCAGATGCTCTGGTCGGGGCAGCAAAAGATGAAGCATTCGTTCGTGTTACGGGTCTGACTGTGCCTTGCTGCTCTTCGTTGGAAGACTCCGGTGACGCAGCTTCGCGGTCAGGGGATGACATTGGTTTGGTCTCGTACATAATGCGGGTTTTTGTCAGTCAGTCGTGTTCAATTTGGTACTGGTTCCCTGAGCCGTTTTTACTGGCACGTTTGCGCGATTCATATGATGTCGCGATATAGATCATTGGTACAAACAAACCTTTCCGTTAGGTACATGAATGACTGTTCTACAGGCTTGTCTCATTGATCGACCGCTGCATTGTCTCGTCTAATGTTTTGCACAGCACAGTGCTCCTCACATCATGTCAACCATCGTTTGTCTCAATAACGTCGTGAATGCAGTGATTTTATTTCAGCGACATAGTAAGATTTGACGAGACACTGTTTCGACTCTCCAAGGAGGCAAAATGTACTCAAGAGTCTTTGTCAACGTTGCTACTGTGAGAATTGCAAGCAACTGGTATCACCAGAAACGCAAGGTACTGGCTGTCGACCTCACAGTCGTGATTGAAGGAACAACCACTGAACGAAGTGTGCGCCGCATGACTGGCACCTTGCACTGCGAGGATACCCCGACCTTCCTCTGCACTAGGACCAGCCATCTCATCTCGCGCGCATTCGCGCAATGTGATGCAAAGTTAGATAGCTCAACGAACGTACGTTGGGCAGGAAGATGCGAGCTAATGCGAACATGCACTTTCGCCACCCCTACAGGATTCAGCATTTCCCACATCCAGGCTGGCAGCCGTTGTGGATGGGCGTCGACCAACGACTGGGGTAAGCGACAGGAGCGCAGCGTTAGTGACATCACGTGCTAGCGTGTACCGACTCCATGGGGTGGCGTAACACGATGCTAGCTGGTTGAGGAAAGACCCATGTCATCTTTAAGCCGCATCGGTTCAGCAAGGAGATAAGGTGAGTGGAGTGGTGAGCGATGCTGACGTTTTAGCCGAGTGGAATGGAGAAGGATTCAGGCCTTGACGTGAAATGAGGGGTAAAGCAAGAGGCGAATGTCCAGGCTGACGGTGGCGCTCAGTCTACAACGACCTTAGTCCACCGTTGGAAAGCGATGATCGAGCGGAAGCCCCGATCTTGCACGTGTTGTTGTGTGACAAGTGCTGCCCTGATGCTGGTGCGCTACTCGTCACATACCTTACACCTACTTTAGCCGGCAAAACTACGCGAGATAAGCGCCTTCGCGCCAGAAGCGACAGAGGCGTCCCGTTACTGAGCGGCATGCCGGGATATTGCCTCGACGCCATAGATATATCGTAAGCTTTTGCCGGGAGCTTCGTCGACTGTGCCACTGTGCCGTGTCTTCTGATCATTCTGGAACGGGTAAGTTTTCATCAAGGTACATTGAAGAATGTCAGGCAAATCGTGCGATACTTGCATGAGAGCCGTACCAAGCATCAATCGGTATATGGGTATCTCGCGGCATAGTTGCTGGATCGGACTGCGACCGTTGGCCTACTGCAAGAGCGCATACTAGCGTACCAGTGCCAGCTTCCTGGTGCTGGAGGCGTGTATACCTGAGGTGGCTAGGCAACTCCAGCGTGCAAGATGTCATGCAACTGCATCTTCAACGCGAGTGTGCCGGTGGCGCGGCACTTGTCGTGCTGTGAGCAGAAAAGGGCCGAAGCTTGAGCGTAGCTTGCTTCGAGCGCAATGATATTGGTGGTTTCGATCACACTATTGACGGAATTCCCGTGCCAGAAGCTCGTCCCATGGTAACAATGCTGGGAAGTGGGGTAGACCGCTCAACCGCCAAACCCTTCCAGCAAAATGGGGGCTGACCTTGACTCTTAGCGTCCGCGGAATGGTAGCACAACATCTCTTGGTTTACAGTTATTGCAAGGTACCGAGCGTTTTAGATGGAGATAGTCGTTGTAAAAAGTGGAAGGAGGCGCGGGGAGGTCTGTGACCGAGAACATCCGGGTCGATGACGGGTAGAACCAGCGGATCCTATCTCTCTAGCCCGCCGACGGGATCACCGTATGGCAAATTACGGAAATAGTTTCTTGCAATTGCGATAGCTGGCGAAGGTAACGGAGGTATAGCCTATCTAGGTAACACAGAAGTTGGGTCAGTGGAGGCAGACATTGACAGCTACGGCGTCGATCACACACACGTGCGCAGATGATGCTCTCGACACCTGTGACTACGAGTAGCTCGAGTCGACAATGCTGTACCCACCGTGAATACCGATCATGTGTCCTGGTGTAGTCCTTCACGATACTGCCAGAGCACCTTTGGCATGGTGATAGTCCGTTTGCGTTCATTCTTGGGTAGACCGGTCAGAGAAGCATGCTCAAACAGTACAAACTCATTCAAGCCTCCTGGTTCAAAGCAATACTCCAGACAGTGGTCTCCACTTTTGTTTCGCGCTTGCTCGAACCAATCACTATCGTCTTTGAGGCTCAGCCAAACCTGGTCGCACAAGGCTGTAACTGTTTGGTCGTGGTGCCGAAACGGCGATAGTACGCATTCCAAAGGCAGGTCCCCATGTCAACACGATCGACCGGAAGCAACCGAACTTCTGCTGTATGCATGCAATATGCAGGACCTTGCCCAGATGTCCGCGGCCTGTCACCGAAGGACGTTGAGTGCCTGTTGACTGTGACGGGCTTACCACAAATGTCGTCGCTGCAGCATGTTGGGTTCAATAGCCGAGAGGCAAGATGGACGGAATTATTCTGAGCTTGAGCGGTCAACACAGACCTGAACCTCGCCGCGGGGGCGCATCGTAACCAGCCTGTCGGGATTGCCGTACCGACCCTACCCTTTGTCCGGCGACCGCAAAATCATGATAATGTGTTTGAGATCGAGTGTTTGAGATGTGCTTAGTTTGTCGCCGCCTGTGGATTGACTGCGTAGTTGCATTTTGATGTGCGGTGTGGATGTTAGAAATCGTTGTGTCGTGGTCAGCCCTGCCAAGTATGACCAGCTGTCAGGGTTCTGACATAGAAGGCTGCAGCCATCCGTGAACAGCACGTCAGGCTTGACTACGTAGCGAAAGAACCGAAATTTTGGTCGACCAACCACGTTCGGCCTTGGGAAGATTTCTGGTCATGTACCATCTATGTCATTGGTTGCTGGGAAAGGGTACCGCGAGCCCCCGGTGATGCAATTGGTGCAGGAATGCAGCCCATGTTCTGGCGGAACATAATTTCAGGGGTCGTTCTGGAGGCTAAAGATACCAGTGAGCGTGTGGCTTGCTATAGCGAGCGCCCAGTGCACATGACTGCTGCAAGCCATAGTACACCCCTGCTAAGATTGGTAGACAGCTTCTTGGGGTAGGCGATTTGAAAGGAAGGGCGCCTAGATTGAGAGTAGCTTCCGTCTATAGCTGTCGATGTGGAGGGGCTGAGGGCCGCTTTCAACCCCACAACAGGACGGACATGATATTTTCGACTTCGAAACGTGAACGGACCAGAAGGCTAGGTCTTGCGCCATTTCGCAGGTAGTTCATCGCTTGAGAGGTTCGCAGGCCAAAAGCAGCGCGACGTCTGAGTGTGTCAAGCGCGCCCAGCCAACACCAATCCGGTAGTGCCTTTGTCCATGTTCAGACGACTAAGTACACTATACACATACGTGAGCAGTCGACCTCGAGGTTGTGTAGTCGCTACAAATACCTTCTGGCGACTGATCCCGGACAAAGAATCCTTCTCCGTTGATTTGCCCTTCACACTTTGCTCGAGCTCTGCCTTCGCCACAAAGAGACACGGGCCGGAACAACACAACTCAAACAGTACGGCGGTGTCTGACTTGCAAGTTGGTATCGCATAGTCGTCCACGCTGATTGTCTCTGCACCAAAGCCTTGGTGCCGGTGAGAAGCGGGTAACTGCAACAGGTTCGTTCCCTGAACACTTTGCGAACTGCTATGCATCATTGCGGTGAAGCAAACCCAGCAAAGAGCGACGCATTCGCTGGACGTACTGACACATATCCAGTACAATATCTGGAACAGAACAGTCTGATCCAGCATCTTCTCGAGAGACCAACGAACGCATCTCGGTATCCACCAGCAACAAAATCCTTCGGTCTTCATGTTGCACGGCCTTTGACCAACAGAAGAGTCATTCCATCCATTGCAGTTGCGCTTGCTCTGTTCAACTATCGATCTCCATTGCTTAAGCGTTGCATTGAGTCCGGAAACAAGGCCAATCGGCAGTCCGCAATCTCCACTGTCGCAGAAACTAACTTGTGCGTCAACGCTCGCCATGATGAGGGGTGACACGCTCGTCCAACAACATCCTCCGACCCCACCGAATGCTGGGTCAGATTATCAGTCCGGGCTGCATCCAGTTGCGCAATATGGCGTCGATCGCGGCTATTCGTTCGGTGAGACAGGGTACGGCTCGCCAGGCTCGGTGGCGCACGAAGGGATCCCTTCACATGCGTCACATGCCGACAACCATCCTCGTGGGCTCGGACTAGGTATACAATATGTAAGAGTCCCTGCGTCTTCACACATGTAACCATGCTGATAAAGGTACAGGAGGGATATGGTCCACCAGCGGAGTATTACCAGAACGGGCCGTACAACGGCATGCAGGTAAGCAATGTCGCCGGTTGTCTCTGACCCGATTGCTAATGGATGATAGAACGAGCAAGCCTTGTTCTCGCCACCGACCCCAAGATCCGCGAACGATGAGGATTCCGGACGTAGGACAACTCGAAGCGGACGAGCAACAACATCGTCCAGTTCTCCACGCCTGAATGAGACCAGCCCTAGAAGGAAGGCGACACCAAGAGTGAAGAAGCCGAAAGCGCCGAAGAACGAGAAGCACAAGACGCCCAAGCTTACTGCGCCGCTGAGCATACTGACGAAGGAGCTACATCATATCCCGGTCAAGAATATGGAGGAATGGGTTAACAGACCAGCGGATGTCAGGAGACGCGAAGTTGAGAAGAGGAATGGATACATCACTCGTCCCATGAACTCGTTCATGCTGTACCGGTCGGCGTTTGCGGAAAGGGCCAAGTCATGGTGTCTTCAAAACAATCATCAAGTCGTATCGTCCGTAGCGGGGGAGAGCTGGCCGCTGGAGCCGCCGGAGATTCGCGAGCTATACA